CCCCCCCGAACACCAAACCTTATCTTTCTCTCTCACCCTCCCACACCCCCCCACCCCCCCCCCCCCCCCCCCTCCAGTCAGTAAATATCAATGACACCATTCTGAATCTGTCTCTCTCTGGACTTCCACTTGATGAAGGCAGGTGTTGGTAACACAATTCGTCATTGCCTTCTATGTACCAACTCAGCCTTTTGCTGACTGCAGATAAAAGAGGCTAAAGACCAGAATCTCAAGCCATAGCCTTTGGTCATTGTTCACCACTCCTTCCTGTGTTTCTGAGCTGTAGCCAACTTGCAAGTAGGTACTGTATGATCCTGCCAGCAGTGCTTCCATAAGATCCTCCAGACCCAATGGCAAGCAAGCTAGTTCAACAGCATCATCCTCTCTCAAGGCAACATGCCCATCATAAAGGAGTCATCGATCCAAACCACCTCCACTGAAACACTTGCGGATGTCCTTAAAGCCTCCCTGAAGAGGTCAAAGGTCACCGCCGGGACTCTGGATTCTAACAAATTAAAATGGAGAAGATCCATGCAGGAAGGCACCCGAGTATATCGAAGGATTTAATCAGGAATGTGCAGAAGCAGAGTCAAGGGGTCAGAGACAACATCTCAAGCCATAGCCTCCCCGCAACATCTTGCTTCACATGGCAGAGCTTGTAGACTGCACACGGAATGTGTCAGCTATCATGAAACCCATTGAAACAGCATGGAAACAAGTCACCCTCAATCTCAAGGGATGGCTAAGAAGAACAGAGAGAGACTGGTGAGTGTTACCTAATTTGAATTTGTACAGTATTTCTTTTATATTTGGTGATTTATTTTACAAGGTGTTTCATTTAGGAAACTACAGGAGTGAAAATGTATATACAGTTTTATAAACTTGTGACTGTCTTTTTCAGATAGGAAATGTGCATGTGAACCTCGCTGCAATTTACACGGTGATTCCAATGGAAACCTCTGATTCGGTTAAAGTTGTTTCACTCAAAATCACAATTGTATAAAATGTAACTAGGATTTTAAGTGAGGAATTGCTGTATTCCAGATCTACTTGATTTAATTCTAAACCTGTGCTTTTGCAAGTCCTACAGCTTGACATCCACTTTTAAATTCTATTTAAATCAGTGCAAAAGATAAGGCTAATGATTTCAACCTAAAGTGCCAAGTGGATGATCCGTTTTGGCTTGCTGCAGAGGTCCCCGGCTTCTCAGATGCCAGTCTTTAGCCAATTTGATTCACTTCATGTATATCAGCAAACAGCTGAAAGCACTGGATAGTGCAAAGTATGTGGGCCCTGACAACAGTAGTACTGAAAACTTGTACTCTAGAACTTGCCATGCCTCTAGCCAAGTTGTTCCAAGACAGTGACACTGGCATCTACCTGACCAATGTGAAAAAATGCCCAGGTATGTCCTGTAGACAGAATGCAGGACAAATCCAACCTGGCCAATTACCGCCCATCAGTCTACTCTTGATCATCAATTAAGTGATGGAAGGTGTCATCAACAGTGCTATCAAGCAGCACTTGCTTAGCAATAATCTTCTCAGCTCCTGCTTTCATTACAGCCTTGATTCAAACATTGACAAAAGAGCTGAATTCCAGAGATGAAGTGAAAGTTGACATCAAGGCTGCACTTGACCAAATGTGGCATTAAGAAGCTGTAACGAAACTGGAGTCAATGGGAATCAGGGGAAACTCTCCATTGCTTGGTGTCATACCTAATGCAAAGGAAGATCATTGTGGTTGTTGGAGGTCAGTCATCTCAGCTCCAAGATATCTCTGCAGCAGTTCCTCAGGGTACTGTCCAAGGCCCAACCAAGCTGCTTCATCGATGACCTTCTGTCAATTGTAAGGTCAGAAGTGGTGGGGTTTACTGATGATTGCTGGTGATTCATGGCTCCTTAGATACTGAAGCAGTGATGCCCAAATACAGCAAGCCTAGATAAAATGCAGCTTTGAGCTAACAAACAACATGTAACAATTTGCATCCACACAACTGCCAGGCAATGACCATTTCCCATAAGAGAAAATCTAACTGTTACCCTTTGACATTCAATGCCATTACCATCACTGAATCTCCCACTGTTGACATCCCCGAGATTACCATTGACCAAACCATTAAACTGAGTTGGACCAGACATAAACACAGTGGCTACAAGAGTAGGTCAGAGGCCTGATTTCCCAAAGCCTGTCCATTATCTACAAGGCACAGGTCAGGAGTGTGATGGAATACTCCCCACTTGCCTGGATGAGTGCAGCCCCAACAACACTCAAGACGCTTGACACCATCGAGGCCAAAGCAGCCCGCTTGATTGGCACCACATTCACAAACATCCACTCCCTCCTCCACCGACAGTAGCAGTAGTGTATACTATCTACGAGTTGCAATGCAACGATTTACCATGGCTCCTTTGACACCACCTTCTAAACCCATGACCACAACCATCTGGTAGGATGTGGGCAGCAGATATGCGGGAGCTGCACCTCATGCAAATTCTTCTCCAGGTCACAGACCATCCTGACTTGAAAACATATCACCGTTCCTTCAGGGGTGCTGGGTCAAAATCCTAGAATGCCCTGCCTAAGGGCATTGTGGGTCTACCTACATCAAATGGACTGCAGTGGTTCAAGACTGCAGCTCATCATCACCTTCTCAAGGCCAACTAGGGACGGGCAATAAATGTTGGCACAGCCAGTGTTGCCCTCATCTCGTGAATGAGTTAAAAACAGAAGAATCTTACATCATTTTTCAAATACTGCAATACCATATTATAAGCAATCAACATGCACCTTGAAGATGAGAACAAGAAAAGGTGGAAACATTCCACAGCTGTCTGAACCTCTGACTTTCTCCACGGTTTATTTTTCCTTCAGATTTGTAGCAACAACAGTATTTTGCTGTTGCATGATGAAGATGACTAAAATGGTTTGTCTTCTTTTTTTGCATGTTGCCAAAGTAAAATATGTTTTTAGCACAACACAATCTAGCTTCAGTGAAACAGATGTGACCCAAACATGCCACACCCTGGAAGCACAATTCAGGCCATTGAAACATATTTTTCATTTCCATGGTTTCCTTCCTGTATCTGTTGCTTCTTTGAAGTGTTTCAGCAACTCTTCCCTCTGAAAAGTATCATCCTGTAGAATTAGAACTCTCATGTTGACTAATCTACACTACCATGACCAAGGAATCCATAACAATCAAAAGATTTACATTTCCTTTTCCCACTGTGGGTGGGTCCACTCTAACATCCATATCATTGAGTCATTCATCAAAACTCCTACTAAACTTGCCTTGAAAGTATCAATTGCAAGCCTTTTTTCAGTGCAAGTCTCTTAGATGACAAAGCTTATTATCCTTTCTGTGGTACAGGTAGTTCTCCTTTAATGTGATAGTTGTGTTCTTGTGTGACCTCGCGCTGTAGAAACTCGCATTATAGGGAAATTGCTATAGAAAATCACTAAACCTGTGCAGCAGAAAGTTTGCATTATCCAAACAGCGTCCACAATTCATCAATCGCGTTATAGCCAATTTGTGTTAATGAAGCACACATTATGGCAGAACTACCTTTACCTCATTAAACTTCAAATTATCTTCGATTATAGCAAGTCCTCACTTTTAGTTATCCTGCTTAATGCCATTTTGTTTTCACATTGCTTTATTTCTAAGGGGTCTTTTCTCAAATTGTAATGGCATTGTTTCCACCTGGAGTTACTTTCCTTCTGTATTTGCCCTCCCGCTGCCCCGGCTTTGCTTCCCTACTTCTGTTTTAACTTGGGCTGCTCCCTTCATCATTTGTTCTGTTTTCCCAACTGCCATTCTGAACTCATACTGAGGGGCACTGTCTTCTGGCGGATATTCATCAGTGCAGGAACTTTGCACTTCCCTACCCTGACTGACATCTATCATTAGAGCTTGGTCAATCTAAACAAAATTGTATCTGTTGCCTGGTTTTGAATTCTCTCTATAAGAAATGGTAATTTCATTGCCCACTGTTTGTTCCACATGGGTCTTCCATAGTTTGCCTCAATCTCTGGTCAGGTCATCACTGCAACCATTTTTGTCCCTTAAAACCATTTCAATCCATGATGGTCTGAAGTGTAACAATCAGATGATGGAAGTTAAAATTCAGTTGTCGGTATTTACCACTGTTGAAGGCTCTTCTCTACCAGATAAAGTGTTTCTCTCGCAAAAGTCACTTCAAGACCCACTATTAGTGCTTGTTTACCCCTTTCTGCCCCATTCTGTCAGTCCATGACCCCAGTTCCTAGTCATCACCCTGAGCTTTCAATTAATGTTTAAAATTACCATTTGCTTTTCCTGAACATTCCACATTATCATGTCTCTCCATTAATTCGTACTCTCTGGTCCATATGGTAGCCAGGTAGCTGCCTGGTAATATGCCTTTGAGTGTGCAAGCTGTGTCACATGCATCAAGTTCTTTCACATTGCTACAATCTACATCCTCTTCGTCAGGACCCCGAGTGCAAAACACAAGAGCACTTGCTGTACAAGTTGTTTGGTTGCTTCTAGTGAGTGGCTCAGATTGAAAGATTTTGGAGTTCATTCTGATTAGTTGCGAGGAATGAATCTTAGCAGTTTGATTGCCATGTTTGATTAATGTCTTGCTATCACATAGCTTGTCAGGGCCTCTACTCTTCATGGTTCCCAATGGGAGAATCCAGTTTCTGAGAGGAGCCTGGAAATGTTTTTCGAAGCAGGATGAACCTGTTAGCAGCCAAGACAGGCATGGGTCTGGATGGGCACAGACCACAAACTGTTTTCATTGACCTGATAGAAGCTTGTGAGTCTTGAACACCGCTCTTGACTTTGTCCTCCAACACCCTGTGGATGAGTCCCTTACTGAACCTCCCTGGACAAAATTCACCGAGCCTTTCCATAAGCCAAAAATAACAGCTTGCAGATTGGGGCGGTATCTCAGCTGAGGTGTACATGTTTGACAGAGACTAAATTGTGCAAAACTTACGCTTACTTTTCCAGCAAATCTGGAATGAAGCAAGACTCCCAGGAGACCTCAGCAATGCCAAAGATTGTCTCAGTCTTTTGGATTGCTCACTTCCAGCTGCGGAAACCTTTTTGTCAGAATCCCAATGTGGATTCAGAGCACTACAAGGCATGACAGATCTGATCTTTACCATTCTGCAGGACGTGCAGTAATGAGGGAAGACTTCATAGAAGGATCTTCAAATGAGACCTTGAGGGCAAAGCTTAGAAATAAAAAAAAGGGGTTATTACCTGCTGGAATTATACTACAGACCTCACAGTAGTCAGAGGGAAATAGAGGAGCAGATATGTAAGCAAATCACAGAAAGGTGTGAGAGAACAGTGTTATAGTTGTCAGGACCTCAGTGTTTCTAACATTAATTGTAATTGCCTAGTGTGAAAAGATCAGATGGGGTGGATTTTTTTTTAAATGCAAGAGATCTTTTTGTGCCAGGATGCAATTGGTCCTACCAGAAACGTAGTGCTAGACCTAATCCTAGGGAATGAAGCTGGTCGAGTGGTTGAAATTCCAGTGGGCGAGCATTTTGTGTCTAAATTAAGGGAAGACAGATTTGAATATCATTAGACAGGGTCTGCTAGAGACTTGGAGCAGCCTATTCACAGTGAAGTCTACATTTGGAAGGTGGGAGTCTTTTAAAAATAGTATTCAGGGCCACTGTATTCATTTTAGAGTGAAGGGCAAAAGCAGCAGGTCCATGGCATCCTGGATTTAAAGAGACATTGAGAATTTTAAAAGGAT